CTTTAAATTTTTTATATTAATATTTCAATAATTATATAAATTTGTATATAAATAATATTATTATTTAATTCTTATAAAAATTAAGAGAGAGAGAGAGAGAGAGAGAGAGAGAGAGAGAGAGAGACAGAAGAATTATTAGAATTTATCAGAATTTTTTCAATATGAGAACGCCTAAGAGAACGCCTAGATAGTGGCAAGCCGTGTTGCACTAAAGTAAAACTGGTTATATGTCGATAGAGATATCGTCTAATTTTCATATAAATATAATATGCAAATATAATTAAAAATTTACAAAAAACAATTCTTTGTATACTTCCTCCCCTTAGATATCACCTAAAATTATAGACATAATTAATTTTTCATTTAATTTGTAATAAAATTATTTGAGCCTTCAAACTTAAAATATGTACTTATATAATTTTACTACATGTAATTTTGCACATTTACTAAATAGATTCTTTTTGTATAAAATGGAATGTATTTAAGAATAAATTTATATTGTATTCAAAGATATCGGTGTTACACTAAAATATTGGTCGAAAACTAACACTTCTCTCTCTTTCTTTCTCTTTCTCTTTCTCTCCCTCTTTCATTTTCTCTCTTCATTCTCTTCAATCTCATGTAAAATTCCGCCACAATGCGACTTTCCGCGATGCAATCGTGTTAACGCGTTACACACGTTGCCGTAATTGACTGGATGCAGTAACAGCACGACTATGCCAACGAATTTCTACTTCTCCGAACTTACGTAATAAGAAGCTACTTCAAGTTGTGAATCCAAAATTTTATTTCAAGAATATTTTCAGATTTGTGCATAACGTAATAAATCGTCATATAAATCATTATAAATCATTAATTATGATAATTTACAATTGATGATTTATGATGTTATGCATAAAAAATAAAAACACGAAAATTTACCATAAGATGTAAACTTTGATGTCATTGAAATAATTTCTCGATAAATTTATAATAAATTTTTTTTAAGAACCACATTTATATTATGTTATACATATTTTATAATTTATCTTTAAAATTTTCCTGTATTATTATACATTATTTTATTTCAAAATATTTCAAAATATTTTTAATATTTAATTTGTATACTTTTCCATAAAAAGATCTTATAATTATACCAGATACAATAAAAACGTTTTAAAACCTTTTATTATAAAAATATAATTTATTTTATATTAATGACGCATATTGTTATTATTATTATTTATTTTAGTACTGAAGCATTAAATTAAGATTCTGTCTACCCTACATGTCACGTCGGTGTTGCAAGAATCAGAACCTTGTTGAAAACCGTGAACACCTGTCACCATGTGAAATTACGAAACGCGCCGCGTGCAATCACGTAAAATGTTGAGATTGTAAGTGTCCCGGCGAGAAATTAACAAGGAAATGTCTCGTATTTTCTAACACCTCTCATAGAGGCGAAGTCAACTCTTTCACTACGACACTTGATGTATGATATCAATGATTATGTAAATTAGATAAAATGTCACGACATATTTATTTTCTTTTCTTTAAATTATGTTATGGCTGTTTTTAATGTTTCTTGTAAAGTAAACGGAAGTCTGCATCAAAATGCAGAGTAAAAATTTAAATGATCTCTGGAAGATGATATTATTTAAATTCTTAAATAATAAGTAAAAGTAAAGTTAGAGAGAGTATCATAAAGATAAATATTAAGATAAATATGAAAATCCTAACAAATATTTATAAATACAAAAATATAAATTGAGACATGTAACATAATCCATCATTGCTTTCAGTTATAGATAGCTTCAGTGCGATAAGTATCTCAATTCAACTACTAGCCATCAATCGTCTTCCATACAAGTGTTATCATATACTATCGCATGTCCACAATAAAATGATATCTATTATAAGAATTCTCCCTTGTCTATTGTAAACCCGATATAGTCATGTCGATATTGATAGGCCTGCCAAGAATAGGCCAAGCATGA